AAGTTGTAAGCGCCGCCAAGTCAAAGCACTTCAACTAACTGGAACAACCCACAACAGGCGTAGAAACACGAACCTGCCAAAGCCCAAAGAAACTTGCTCCTCACTGTCTGCGAAGGAGTGGGCTTTGGTGGGCGTGGTCGAGACACTAATTGCCGTCTGGTTACCTGCCCTCGGACTTGGAGCTCGGACCTGGCGCTGCAGCCAGTTCCGGTGATTAAGAATGTAAACTGAGACCACCAGCCAGTCAGCCAGTCAGCCAGAGATACGTGACCTGGCCAACTGAGAAAATCCGCAGTTACCTGTTGAGCCCTCATACTCATTAGGTATCCAAACTGCTGCAGTAATATTTCATCACGAAATCCTGCTTAGTGTTTTTCAATTAAAAGTTCTAAATTTAAAATGAGACGGCAGCCACACCTGGCCAGGAAAAGTTCCGCCCAGAAACTGGAACAACGGGCTGCTGGAAATTAATAAACACCATGAAAATTTTAGGCCAGGACGTGCCTCGGGAGGCCCCCGGATGGAGACTTCAGGACGAAACTCCAGCTGACCTGCAAGCCAATGAACCCATGAATTGTATGACTAAGGTCAACATGCACCCAAAGTTCCACTCCGGACGGGAAAATCTATTATGCATCGTTGGGGGGGAGGGATGTGGGGCGGAGGCCGGTAGCCGGCAGCCGGAGGTTTTTGTTTGCAAGTGCAAGCGCATTATGCAAAAGTTGTTCCGTTGTACTCGTATTATTTTTCCTTTTTCCATGCCGTGTTTATTTTTCCACTTTTTTTCATTTTTTTGGGGGCTCATGTGGAATAACTGGGTCGTGAGTTTTGAGGAAGCCCTGAGCTAGCAGCGTGAAAAATGCAATCAATTTTATTATGCTGCAACCGATCCGGCGGATTCGCAGGTTGCCCTCAAACCGAGACCTGCACAATTGGGCAAATCAGGCAGAGAGCCAGGATGCAGGATGCCGTACATGTAGATGCGATTCGCGATGGCTTTTGGCTGAGAGCCCAGGGTTTCCTGTTTAACACGTGAACAGGCGGACAGGTGGACAAGGTGGTACGAGGGAGGTACTAGGGATGGAAAGCCCTATGGAGCTTTGTACGCTATTATCCTGAAGCGGGCCAATTGGCTGCCTTGTAAATCGAATGGGGAGATGCATCTCGGCACTGAAAATTAAACTCAAGTCTTGGGAGTATTAGGTCAATAGTAGAGGTCGAATGGGTCAAATAGCAGAGACTTGATTGTCTTGAATATATATATTTTTATCACCAAATCACGACTTTTAAGTCGTTGATTTAATAGGTTGAATTTGGAACAATGGAGCTTATAATTTTATCATCCCATCTCGATTTCAAAGCTGCCCATTCAATAGGTTTGGTTATGAATAGAAGACCATAGTCTTGAATATTACTTTCAATTTTTGATTTAAATAAATTTCAGAACTAGTTTGCCTTGAAAGAAATACTAGTTGATAGTTTTCTTAGAATATATACTATATAGTCCACCTTTATTCGATTGGATTCCAATTATCGATGCGTCCCTCAAGCGATAGCACGCCAAAGACTCGACTACAGTAACAACACAAGTACAAAAAATAAAGCCCAACCGAACGCATTATCAAAACAATAAACAATTGATGGTTATTTTACTTACGATAGCAACAACCACAACAGAAACAGAACTTTAGCCGCCATCTCCGGAACATAAAAATCAATAAAACACACAGCCACAAGCTCACAGAAACACAAAAGCAAAGCACAAGCAACTGAAACATAAACAGCAACAAAACGCTGGCAAATAAATAAAAATTGCTTTATTTATTAAGCATTAAACAATAAATGGGATTATTTTTATCATCGCCGCATAGAATTGTTTAGTGGAGCAGGCACTGAATGGTCGTGGTGGCTTGGGTTGGGTTGGGGTGGTTGGGTGAAAACAATAAGGAATATGAAGCGGGCCAACAGTGCGAGAATAATAACAAATTCAAACACAAGAAACAGTACAAGGGGCCTGGCGTTGAAGAGCTACCAAGATAAATAAATGCAAATCATTTTTTTCCCTACTGTTTCTTATAGTACAATCTAGATGCTGCAATACCCTAGACATCCAAAAAGCTTAAGGTAGATTTGCTATATAGAAAGAGAGTTCTTACAAAAATACTAAAGGGTATCTAATCCTTACTCTCCATCTCATAACAATTGTATCTGCAATAGAGTGTTTAGCTTGTTTGGATTTTTGGGCAAGCAACCCCGGATCTAAAAGGGCATTACGGAAAGTGCTCGGATGAGATGGGATGGTATGGGCTGCCATACACCTACATAAGTATAGGCAATCCAACTCATTTAAATGGAACGTCTGGGTCACTCTACCCCGAATCCATTTATTTCTCTGTTTTTTTTTTACCTCCTGCACTGTTCATCCCGCATTTGATTTCAGCAAATTTGTAACTGCCACTTTGCATTACCTTTTTTTTGGCTGGCAGGACCAGAGCCAGGCCAGGGTTTTTGTCGACCTCTGCGTGACCATCGGAGAGCCATCGGTGGAGCAGGGCTGGTGTTGAAAAGGTAGCAAAAGTTTTGCAAGTGACAAATAGATTTAAATTTGAAAATACTTTTTTGTTGCCACTGTTTTGTTTCCACTTCTGCAGTAAAAAGTATCCAGAGTGGGGGGGTTGGAAGTGTTATGCAAAGCTCTATTGACAGCGGTCGTAAATCTTTGTAAAAGTGCTTGGAAACCCATGTCAGTGGGATAACGCCGATGGGTGGGGCGTGAAAATGTGTGTACGAACATGGAAAATCAGTTTTAAGTTGCCCCTCGATCTGAGGGTTTAACCCCACACACCGCCCATCCCGAACTAAACCCCTTTTCAAATGGCTATGGATGGGTGGCATTTATCGGCTAATGGAAAAGTAATCTGAATAGAAAGTCCCTCTGAATAATCTTCTATCGCATATTGATAACTTCCTATAAATAGTCAAGTTCGATTTTATTCATAATCAATAATAATGTGCCAGATGTCAAAGTTATCAATTATTTTGCTTATCTAGCAATGTGACTAAATTAGTTGGTCAAGAAATATGACTTGAAGATAACCTGCAGCTAGGTATATAATATTTTGAGGAAAAGAAGTCTATTTCTAAGAAGTCTGCCCTTGAAACTATTTATATCCCGATATTTGGAATCGAAATTCCAAAGTCTATTACATAGTATTCAGATTCAAATGAAGAAGTGATCTCATTTCGGTTTCTACAGCGTCTATAGAAATCTGTTTACATTGCCCGGAGGATAGATATATGGTATTTAATATAATTTGCAAGCCATCATTCGTGGGACTCGTGTTTCTCATGCCATTTCCAAGTAAACCAAACACAGAGCAGGGACGGGCAGCAGCAGTATTGCATTTAAAAATTAGCATTCTAATGTGTGAAGTGCAATTATGGCGCCGGCTTTTTTTATATATTTTTTCTTTTTTGCAGCTATTGTGGTGTAAGGCCCTTCCGTAATTGTGCCACGATTCGCTGGAAAAAATAGGGACCCCAACATACCAACTCGAAAGTCAGCGGTACTTGGCCTTTGCGTGTTTGGCCAATTGAAATTGGGGGTCTGCCGGCTCATGAATGGGGTAGACAACTGGGCCGCAACGAGGTTGATCTAGTTGCAAGTACTTCCGCAGCCGTAGCCTGCCGCCGGCCCCCGTGACCCCTTATATATCAGAGTCCCTTCTGGGTGTCAGCTTCAGAAGTTTCGTGGGTTCCACAGGCTGTGAAACGGAAAACCGGTTACTGTGCGTTCGAAAAATTCTCGACTTTTGTTTCACATACACAAAACGGAGTTTATCTTTTGGTTTTGGCCATCTCTCTTGCCCTGCTGCTGCTGCTGCCTTTTTGTTGTTTATCAAAATTCTTTGAAATGCACTCACAGATACTAGCACAGATACACACCCATACTGCCAACCACCAACCATCCATCCATCTATCCCATTCTGGCACACAAAATTAAATTTTTTCCTTTGGTTTCTTTTTTTAATTTTATATGGCTCTTTGGCTGATTCTGTGGCATTTTCTTCCTGCTCTTTTTTTCTTGCACGCTCCACTGAACCTGGAACCAAGGAGCGCCCTTGCGGGTACCTGGTACTGATGGGGTTTCAAGGGGTATATTGGATACGGAGACTAGAAATACATACTTCAATTTAAATAAAATAAAATACAGGTCTATATTTTGAAAACCCAATGGGTGGGCAAGCTTTATATCATCCTTGAGGAGTACAAATCCCTAAAAAGTACCAGGTATCTCATAGTCATCATCTTTTAGTCTTCCAACTCTTACTTGTTTCTCTGCTGCTGTTGGCTAGTAGTTTCGGTTTGTTTAGGAGCCGACTCAGTGCTTTTAAACGCACCTCCCAGTCTCAGTCTCAGTTCCAGACTCAGTCCCCGTCCCAGTCAATGTCGCAGTTTGGGTTTCAGTTTGAGCTCGGACCGAGCCGAGCTGAACATGCATGTAAAAATGCAACGTAACTTGGCCGGGGGACCGAGTTGACTTGGCAGGAGGGGGCTTGGTTTGGTTAGAGGACCATGTGCTGTGCTGCGGTTGATGACTTGCTGCGCTGCGCTGAGCTGGGCTGGGCTGGGCACTCGGACTCCCAGAGACTGACTGACTCTGGGATACTGGCTTCCCGGCAGTCCGACTTTGACTTTGGCACTGGTTAGACTGGCTGACTGGCTGGCTGGCTGGCTGACTGACTGGGAGTTTTCTGGGGAGGAAGGGGGCTACATTGCGGTCTCTGCTGATTCAGTCTGGTTTGGCTTTTGACTCTGGTCAGAGCAGGCGGTTTCCTGTGATGTTTGGTTACTTCATAGCCTGTTGCAAAATTAGTGTGATCAGGCGAGAACCCATCTGCCCGATGCACTCATGACGACTGCAGATACTCCTTTTGATTGAGATGAGTATTTTGGGAATATTAAGAAAGCACTCCAGGAAAAGGACCTCCGTTTATGCATTCTATATAACTAGTAACTTTATTAACACACTAAAACTGAAGGAAAGTTTTGGGAGCATCCTTACACTATTTGAGATTCTTTATCAGCTCCTTGGTGTACTCGGAGCACTTCGAATTGCCGCCCAGATCCTTGGTGCGAATGTTGCCCTCCGTCAGGGTCTTCAAAATGGACTTCTTGATTTTCTCCGCCTGATCAGGCATCCCGACGTAGTGCAGCAACATGCAGGTGGATAGCAGAAGCGCTGTGGGATTGGCCAAGTCCTTGCCAGCAATGTCCGGGGCGGTTCCGTGCACAGACTCAAAGATGGCCCCCTCGGTTCCAATATTTCCCGACGGAGTCAAGCCAAGCCCGCCTATCAGACCAGCACACGTATCGGAAATAATGTCACCGTAAAGATTGGGCAACACCAGAACATCATAACGCTTGGGATTCTGGACGATGTTGAGGCACACGGTCGTCATGGTCGAGAACTCAAACTCGATGCCAGCCGACTCCAGCTTGGACTTGTACTTCTCGGACATTTCTTTGACGCAACGGAGGAAGAGCCCGTCAGACATTCGCATGGCATTCTCCTCACCGACGGCAGTCACCTTCTTCCGTTTCATGTCCAGGGCGTACTGGAAGGCGTACTCGGCCACCCGGAGGGAGGCATTCCGGGTGATCAGCTTGATACTCTGCACCACACCGTTGACCAGGGTGTGCTCGATGCCCGAGTACTCGCCCTCGGTGTTCTCGCGGATAGTTATGATATCCACATCACCGTAAACCGTCTCCACTCCCGGCAGAGATCGGCAGGGACGGATGTTGGCGTACAGGTTGAACAGCTGGCGCAGGGTCAGATTGAGGGAACGGAATCCGGTACCCACGGGCGTCATTAGAGGACCCTTTAGGCCCACCTTGGTGCGGTTCATGCTCTCGACGACTGCCTCGGGCACCGTGGTCCGTCCGAATTTGTCCATCACCGGGGTGACATCGACGGGCTCGAAGATCAGGGGCACTTTGGCAGCCTCAAGAACCTGCAGCACAGCCATCGATATTTCCGGACCGATACCATCTCCGGGCATCAGAGTGATGACCCGTGTACCTGATCCTTTGCCGCCTTTCCCTGCTGGTGGTTTTCCTCCGGCTACTGGTGGTTTTTTTCCGCCTGCTGCTGGCGGTTTTCCTCCGGCTCCTCCTGGTGGGTTCCCTCCGGCTCCTCCTGGTGGTTTTCCTCCGGCTCCAGCAGGGCCCTTAGCAGGTCCTTTTCCAGCACCAGCTCCTCCTGCAAGAGGTTTTTTCCCTCCAGGACCTGCCGCTTTTCCAGCAGCATGCCGGCTTTGAAGATCCTTCGGCCCGGTGGGAGCTTTCCTAGATCCACTCACTAGATTGCTGCCTTGCTCAGCCAAAGCCTTGGGTGGGATTCTTCTCTGGGCAGGGACTTGCTCATTTTTCCCTGAAAAAGGGGCTTGGGAGGGAGCACCGCCCATCACGGATATAGAATGATCCGAAATGGTCAGACCCATGATGCCCCTAATATCCAAAGTCTTGTCATTCATCCTCTGGAGCAGATGTTCAGCGTCTTTACGGTGTTCTTCAGAGAAACTCTTAATGGGATCGCCGTCAGAAGCTTTGGGCTTTTCAGCGTCCTTATTTGAATTTGTCTCATCGGCTTTGGCATCAGGAGTCCTTAGCTTCTCTGGTATGATGTCTGAAGAATCTAGTGATTCTAATGAATTCATTTCAGTTGGATCTTCTGCCAGTTCTTCATTTTCTGGTGACTCTAATGTTGTTCTATCTTCAGGATTTTTCGACATAAGTATAGCCAGTCCAGGCTCTTTCCGTACCTCGCCTTGAGAATCATCTAATAGGGTAATGGATATCGGAGTTGCATCAATGAGTATCGGCTTCTTTGTTCGAGGACGCTTCAAAGTGCCAGGATGATTTTCTCCCGAAACTTCCTTCTCACCAAAAGTGTAATCTGATGATCCATAAGGGTCATCAATTTTCGATTTAAATACCTCCGCGTACATATCAAGCATCCTAGGAGGCTCCAAGTTGCTCAAATCGGACAGTAACTCATTCCGTGGTCTTGATGGATCCTCGACTTCTGAGTCAGATGGCTTCTTGGTGAGTGACTTGTCAACTTCACTGGATACGCACTCTGTAGGTCCTGATGGATCCTTTACTTTGGATTTGGAAAGTTGTTTTTCGATCGATTTTTTAATGGCAAAAACCACCGGATCCGCCTGAAAAGTTTGCAACTTTCCTTTTTGCGATTCTTCCCGTCGATTTCGTTTCGGGAACTTGATGCCCTTGCCCTCCCGGCATTCCACTTCCTCGCCAGCCTGGTCCTCTGTCCCATCGTCCTTGGAATATTTTCCATAAAAACGCGAGATAAAGGTATCTACGATAGCCATGGAGTTGCGAGGGGGATTAATGCGTCGAGGCACCAGAATCTCTCCCAGACCTGGCAGGCACTTTGGCCCAGACCTCTCCCACCAACGTCCCCGCCTCACCACGGTAGTTGACTGCCGTGGTGGCTGGGAATCGTTACCATTACTCTCTTGGTGGAAGCGTCCACGTCGCCGCCAGTTGCCATTCGGCGTCCTGCGACCGCCACCACTCCGCCCGGGACCACACAACGATTGGAGGAGATTCAGGTGATTGGATTGCCAGAAGAAGGTGGGAGCCTTCGGCCAAGTGTGTTTACCGGACATGATCAATTGAATTTGGATGAACTTAATGCCAGAATAGATGAGTTGATGAATTTGTGTGCTGTGGGATGGGGATCCGTTCGCCTCAGTCTGATTTTAGTAAAAGTGACTTGGTCTGGATTCTGACGGCTTGGCGAGAAAAGTAGAATATTTCATGGCCTGCTTGAATGTTGAAAAATTCATTTTCTGATGGCGGAAGTCAACACTTGCCCAGTTTCAATACCAATTTGCATAGCTTTTAGGCCACCTCTACTCTGTCTCTGGCTTTTGTCGCCTCCAAGTTTGGCGACTGGCACCAAGAAACTCACAAAGAAATGAAACTTTCACCAAAAAAAAAAACACGCAACCTTTTTACACTTCGAGGATAAAGAAAGGAGGCTAGGACTAGGACTAGGACCTCTGCCGAATTCGGATTCGGTTTCGTTTTGTTTATTCCTATTTGGGTTAAGCTAATTAAATTACTTTTTAGCTTGCAATTTCATTTTGAAAATTTGTTTGCTTTGAAGGTCGCCCTGTCTTTAATTGAAAAAGTTTGCAAGGAGAGTCCTGGGACAAGGAACGGCTGCTTCTCGATGGCAGATTTAATATGAAAATTTCGAGAAAGTCGAGTATTTAATTAGACGAGAGTGCTGCTCGAGTTGTATTTTCCCGGTAAACGAAATTAGCTGCGAAAGGCAATTAAATTATGCACACCGAACCCCAGAACGAGCCCATTCCTTTAATGGGCACACCTGCCGACATATATATGAATGTGTCCAACCACCGCCCCCGTTGTCATTCGGCATAATCATATTTCAACGGATTAGCATAATTTTAAGCTAGAGAAATATATTAATAACGCCAAGTGAATGGCTGCAGACAGTGCTATGTAGCTCCCCTCGACGCTTCGCTTTTTATTAAATTTTCCTACTGTTCGTTCTAGCGGCCTCGCATTTATATTCATATTTGGTGGCTTTTTGAAAAGCGTAGGGGAATATATTTTTTTTTTTAATTTTAGGTTTGGATGGCTTTTGTTTTTCGATGGTGTTGGCGTTCCTAAATGATTGATGGCATCCACGCTGGGGGTTAACTCATCCACTCACCAACCAATCCACTCATTCGCCATGCAGTCTCGTCCAAAAAGCGGCAATCGGGGGTGGCTCTTATCGGGAGCGACTTACCACCACAGATACCAAATACCAGATATCAGTTACCCGATATCTGTTATATGGAGTGGTCGGCGATCAAACATTTGCTTAGATAACATGGCCCTGTTTGTTTTTGTATTTAGTTCGGTATACGCACCTGCAAATAATATAGAAAAGCAAATAGATATGAAAAATTAGTCAAACATCGGGAAAGTGCAAATTGGAGTGTTAAACTTAAGGTTCTTATCTAAGAGGTATATTTTCCGTAGAATATGGATCATTATAGTGTGTTGTGTTAACTAAAACAACTCCTTGAAACTCCTTCTCTGACACCCTCTTCACATGCTCTTCTCCTTCCATTTAGACCCGAGGTTAGTTTGCAAAAAAACCTGGCCAAGAACCAAGAGCCAAGAATCTCCAGCCAAAGTCAATAAACCGTATAAATGTACAAGCCGGATGATGACTGGATTGAATGGGTTCGAGGTTCGAGCCTCCCCCCTTTGGCTTTAAAAAAAAACAAAGTGCCTTTGGTCATTTTGGCTTGGCTTCCAAAAACACAAAGAAATCATTCACACGCCCGTGTGTGTCTGTGTGTTTATATTTTTATTTTTATTTATTTTTTTATTACGATAACAAGACAAGAGAGCAACGCCAACGCCACATTAGCCAGGCTTTGAAGCACTTAACCAGAAAAAAAAACTACAAGAGAGAACCCGAAATCGGCAAAGGCAATTTGCTCGCCTTTTGGCTCAGTGGAGGGACTCAGTCGCTCAGACTCAGTCTGGTTCTTGTCTTTTGTTGTGGCTCGTCATAAGGTGATTTATGGGCTTTGGGTGCAAATAATTGATTTATGCCTTGGCTCGGACATTGCGCAATGTAAATAAAAGCATAGCTTGTCCTTACTCGAATCTTGAGGTGCAAAAGTATTTAGAAAATGTTTATAACTAAATGACATGCTTAGGCCACCTTTAGTGTAATCCCTGGGATGATATCTCTAGCCTAACGCCACTCGAACCGAACCCCGAGCGGAAATGGCAACTAGTTGTGAGATTTATCTGTATCTCCTCCGTCGGGTTTTCTGTGTTTGTTTTTTATTCTATTTCGATGCTGTGCACACTTCACTAGGCATTAACCTTTACCTTTTCCGTGAACATAACAATCCAAAATCCAGAAAAAATATAAGCCGGGGGGATGGAACAACAAAACAACGCGCCACTGCCATCCATGAATCAAAAAACACAAAACCCAAAGAATCCGGCGACGTTTGTATCTCATACCCACAAAAAGCACTCGTACCTCATACCTCGTACCTCGTACCTGTAAATGCCTACGTATCTTCATTGGAAAACAACGATTACGCGGCACAAAAGACATGGCCAAACAATGAACAACCAGCAGCAGCAGCATCGGAATCACCAAGAAGTCGATGATGGAGAACCATCCAAGGAATATACTATATATACTCTTGTATAGGTCGGAGTGGGGGCGATTCTGGGTGAGTAAGTCGTCGGCGAATGCGACTTTGACTTTGTAGCTGCTGCAACATCACGGTTGCATAAGCAGCGACCAGTTGCCCCCACACTGACCAGAGCAAATTGTATCGCCCCGGATACTACATAGATATAGATACAGATACACATACAACCCTTGCGAGGGACTGTTTGTTTATTTGTTTGTTTGATGAATTCACTTGTGAATGTTTAAAAATAGATGCGACAGGAGCAGGTACAGAGGTACAACCGACCCTACACTACCTGTCTGGTTGGTCTGCCCGACCCAGATGAATTTCACACATTTTATGACTCTGAGGGGCGCATCCAGCAGATACAACTAAATATTTAATTGAGGCAATACCCGGTTGCCATTCGAACTTTATCTTATCGCCTTATCGTCTTATCACCAAATGGTTGGAGAATGCATTCCACCATAATCGTTATCGGAGACGACATGGGTTGTTTTGTCCAAGCGGAAGAACTAAACAAGTTGACAACTTCCTCTGGACAAGCCAGAAAATATGTACACTTAATTGTGTCCACTTAAGCTCGGTTCTAATTAAAATGTGCGACATCTGGTAAATGGTAAATGGTTAATGGTAACTGAAACCCAAAACTGGTTTCCAACATCGGGCATGAATGAAAATGAGAGATACAGCCAAACCCTCGCTTTAAATGTCACTACTGGTCATGTTTATTATGTCGAATGGTTATTTCGTGGAAATCGTTTTGTTCCCTCAATGGCCCTGCACACCTGAACATGAATGGAGGTCTACCATAAGACGATGAAATATTTCACCAATTTAAATACGAGCAGTCGACAACCTCTGTCTAAAATCTGAGAAATTCCAGATACTCGTCAAAGACCAAAGACCAAAGACGAAAGACCCAAAGAAGCCAATCAATGACATCATTCCTGCCCAAACTGAAATTAAACAGAACTCGAAACCGAGACACACTCGAAATCGCCCTTTGTATTGAGGTCAAAAGTGTAAAAAATACAAAACTAAAGCAAACATTAAGAAAGCATCCAGCTCTTTTTATTTTATATGCGTGTGAAATCGATCAAACACAAACATAAGCATAGGCGTCGTTAATTTTAATTGAAACTAATTAGCGCAAATATAAAAAAAAAACTTTAATGATTTTTGGGTAGATATGTTGTAATACCATGGCCATAAAGTTGTTCTCCAAGATTGATGATAAACCTTAAAATATAAACCATTTCAGAGATAAAGAAATCAATTATACTTTTAAGTTTATTAACCGCTCAGTTAGTGATTCATTGGCCTTAGAAGTGACTTCTAAAAAAGGGTTTCCCACGTTCCAGGGCATTAGGCCAAGACCTGCAGCAATGAATACCGATTAAACCAACTTTTAAGACCATTAAGCCACTGGACCAAACTACTTAAAACGCACTCGTAATTAGTTTTTTTTTTGTCCAGCACCAAATCAATTAAGAATTTCGTCCGGCTTAGAGTTTAATTGATCGCCCTTGGAGGAGAAAGGGGCAGCAATTAAATTCAACTGAAAAGAACTCGAAACTTAATTGATGAGATAAGTTCAAGCTGCTAGCGGGTTGGGATGTTTTACGCCTGAATGGAGAGGAAAATAAAACATAGAACCTGAAACACGAAAGAAGAAGCCAGAAACATGACTTTTGGGGCGACTGCAACTGGAACAGAAATAAATTTTAATTATCCCTCAAGATATTCGAAACAAAGGCTAAACAAAATCGTCGGTAATATAGCTCATGAATTAAACAAAATAGGAAAACAAGTTCTCGAACAACGAGCTTTGGAATTCGGATGACGAACTTTACGATCGGTTCGGCATAAATGTTATGGATCGTTTTCGGTTCTGCTTGATGTGCTTGGCTTCTGGCCCGATTTTTGGCAGTTTTATGTTTGCAGTTAGGCCATAAGTGGAGTTCTGTGCCATTTCGAAACTTTTAATTGGTCCGGAAGAGAGCTGTCTCTTCCTACTCTTCCCCCCCATTAATGATATACAGCGAGTATGCAGAGTATTTGTGCACTTTTAAAGTTAATTAAAATTTTGTGAGCCAGCATCGTACTCCTTTGAGCTGCCTAGGTGACTGAACCGCCCACGCACCCAAAGAGCTCACATTTCAAAAAAAAAAAAAGTAGTTTTCTAAGAGCAGTTGGGTTGAGTTCTGGCCCGCTTCAAACGAGTCACGTTTGCCTTCTCTATTTGCACACTTTTCACTTATCTATCTATGAGATATGCGATACGCGGCTACACCGGTTCATATCTTACAGTTTGCTCTAATTTCTTTTGCCGCGAGTTGCTTAAATATTTAGTAACCCTGCTTGCCTTGCAAGATACAGATACTGAGCGATATGATTAGATACTACACTACGTAGTACATACTTCCTGTTCGCCTTTGTAAAGCGTTAATGTTCATGTTAATGGGCCACGCGAAGTATCTTTTCAGCATTTTTCATCGTTCGAAATGTATTCTCGCTTTTTTGTACAAACATTTGTATATGTATGTTTTTTTTTAGTCGACGAGCAGCTTAATTAACAGTCGGGCGGTGTGCGCAATTAAATGAAAATTTAATTTTATTTGGAGCGCCTCTACCTGGCCAGAAGGAGGTGCTGCACCAAAAGAAAAAATAAATACGCAACGGAGGAGAGGCAGTTATCGTATGCATGACACCGACATGAGATTAGCATCACAAACAGCACATAAACGTAAAAGTAACACACTCGAGCACACAGCCGAAGCAAACAGAAACAGATATAGTGGATAGATGGAGCTGGAGATACAGATATAGTACAGATACAGATACTTTGGCGGAGCATAAATAACGCGCAGGAGGAAGGCGCATGAACTATGTAAACAGTAAATAAATGTCGAAAACAAAGTTCGGCATACTCAAGCAGGCCAACGACCACAGCGCACATATGGAAGATATATATCTGTATGTACCTCGAGATACAAAGATACAAAAGATATTATGGTGCTGATCGGAAGCATTAGCCAAATTGAAATTCCTTAAGGCCAACGAGCGATAATAACTCCCAACTACCGAGTCAATTGGGCAGGCATTCAGGTGGATAAGTCTTTTCGAAAATCCCATTCAGACATCCAAGAGATGCCCAGACATCCCAGATACCGACATGCACTTGTAACTTTCAGCTGGTTCTTCACACTTTGAGGCCATCGAAATGCGGGCGGCTCAGCAATGTATCTCATAGATACTTCTTTAGCGTTAACTACCTGCGTGTGGGAAAGAATAAAGAACGGGCCACAAACCAACGAACGAAGAGAAACGAAAACCAGAGACTCTCTAGACCTCCAGACAGGTAAGCCCATTGCACACGGCCTAGCGAACTTGCAACATCATCATCAGCATTGTAGTGTAGATACATTTGTATTCTGCGGCAGTTTTGTGGGGATCTGTATCTTGTAATTGTGCGTAAACGCGTAAATACCGAGTCAAGGTCGGTTAATCAATAATAATTATTTTTCACTCAATTACACGAGACTCTGTGAATGTGATTCTGGCTTCAGACTTTGAATCGGCTGACGTAGCTGTCTTGCCACATTGATACATTATGTTTATATTTGCTCATTTTCGGCTGTTTTTCGGATCTTATCTGATTGGTGGGTCTTCTGCTTTGGTTTGCCACGGCACTCATGTGTAAAATATGCATAAACAAAAATATGCCATGGATATCTCGTGGATATCGATATAAATACATACACCTAGCCTTCACACAGTTTGGTGTTCAGATGCGTGCCACTTGATATGCCACCGCACCGCACCGCACTGTCGAGAAATCAGAATAACAAATGGCATATGTATCTTTGTATCTGCTAGATGTAATGAACCTGCTGTTCGAGGTCTGGCAATAAGGCAAAAGGCAAAACTTTATCCGCAGCCCGTCGAAAACTTTTCGTTTTCGTTTCGAAGGCGTTACTCAATGCGCTGCAGAGCGCTTTCCTTCTAATTGCAAACGGCGCCCGGCTGAAGCCACTATTTCATAGTGGTGCCCCCCCTCCCTTCGATTATTTTTCCCGAAAAAGGAAACCACTAAAGTAGTCTGGATTCTACAGATTTTATTTAATGAGCATCTAAAGGTCTATACTATCCATAAACTCTAAAAATATCCTATATCTATAGTCGCTGGCCCTTCTGCCGGCACTTGACCCAACACTGCCTATGTGTGAACTTTACCTTTTTCGTTGTAAGCCCCACTCGACTTGATGTCGATCGACTCGAAGTAACTCTTGACGGCCTCGCACTGGTGTGCGGCACTGGAGGAGTCCTTGGCCCGCGAGTCCCGCTGCAGGCGGCGGCGATGGTGCGTCGTGGCGCTGTGCTGGTGGTGGTGGTGGGCCGAGCTGTCGCCCAGGTGCTTGGCGGCTGACAGGCCGACGAGTCCGCAGAGCAGAGCAAACAGCAGAAGCTGCGCCACCCGGATGCTCCTGGCCGCCATTTTAATGGATGCTGGTGGTGATGCAACGAGGATGACGATGATTTGCTAAATTCGATTTGATTTTTCAGTGATTTTTCTGGGGATCTCTGGGGGCTTTCTCTTGCTACGCTATAGAGATATTTATTTTTGCATGCTGGTGGGGAACAGCTGTTCGCATGCACCAACACAAACACAATCTGCACTTGCCGGCTAACACACACACGCACGGCTAACACACACTAACGCGATGTCACTCACACGCGCACAAAACAAAAGGCCCCAAAACACGCGTAAGCTATAAAAAGTGAACGTAGGCGGCGAGAAGAAGCCGGTGGTGAAGCTCTGGAGAGATGCGGGGGCGTTCTCGGCTCGCAAAAAAGTGTGCAAATATTTTACGCGCGTGTCTAGCAATATTTCAAATTGAAATTTCACAGGTTTTTAAAGACTTTCCATGACATAACCCTAACAGTACTAGATTTCATTAGCGGTTTGCGATTTTTGCGTTTGTTTTTCGCGATTGCCTTGCCTTTGTTTTTTTGATTATTTGTTGTTTCTTTTCGTATATTTTTTATTTTTTTTTGCAATTGTAAGGCTGTGTTGGATTTTGTTTCGTTTTATTGCAGTTGGCAGAAAATAGATTTTGCGGCGATCGCAAACACACTCGTATTGGCAAGCCGGCGTTCACAGGTCGAGGAAATGCACTCGCATTCGCATTATTCGCATTGGGGAGCGACTTCGAAACAACCTTCCACAACGAGCGACCCGAACAGATTAACCATCCGCCCCGTAACTCAAAGTCGTCGTAACAGACGGCTGTGAGAGTGTGTGCTTCGGGTGGCCATTCGGGTTTGCGGCGCCATGCTCTCCAAGAGAGCAGAGAGCGAGTGGCAAGTGAGCACATGGCTGGCGAACAGATGGTATACCGTGGTGCAACACCTAGTGGTATGGTGGTGAAAGTATCTATGGGGTGGATGGTTAGAACTATAGGAAGGTTTTAGTTGAGACTCGAGACAAGAAGTCTTTTATGAATAGCATTAATAACTTTTATTTCAAGGTTTTTAAGGTAAAAGTTTAAAAATAATGATACTTGTTATGAATACTTAAGTATTCAATTATTATATAATTATAAGATTAATCTCTAAAAGTATCATATATGTGATAGTATTTCCTAGACACCTCTATAAATCGTCTCATATCCTTCACCGCCCTTAACTAATTTATCATTTTAAACACCAGCTACTTTTATTTATGGGTTTCGACATTCTCCCGATTTAAAGTATTCAAGGTTCCGTTTTTTTTTTATAAAACCTATGAATCATCTGACAGTAGCTTGATTATTTTTTGTCCCGGGCTAGTCGCCTTAAATATTTATTCAAATTCCCGAAATGTTACTCTAAAAGCTTTCATCAGTGGATAGCTGCAATTTGCATATTCAACGTAAATCAATCCATCTTCGAGCAGTGGTCTTCTCGGGTTCTCGATTGGAGACCATTATTGCTCCAACTTGTTGGCCAGGCAGGCAGCTTTCATCGTTGCCGCTGGAAAAATTTGCATGCTCGCAGCTAATTGATGGCTGAATGCGTTCTAATTTTATTTCATAGCCGGTATTTTACGATCGGTTTAATGAACTTGTGGGCCTGGCCCAAGAGCTGGCTCGAATTTCACACCTTTTCGAGTCAGTTTTCCTAGGGCTAAGCACATCTATTGCCATGTCATGACCTCGCTCAGCACGTGTGTTGCCTTTGTTTTCGATTTGGTTATTTTGCCTTCCTGCTTTCTTTAAAATTTCTTCTTGTTTTTCTTTTTTTTTGTATCCCAAAAGATTTGCAATTCCAAGCGATTGTGTTGAGGTTGCAGACAATGCACGACTCTCTTTGGACTTTCACTCGTCACCCCCGCGGGCACTGGCCTCGATCCTAAATACCTCGCCGCACTCTGGGGCATCTGTGTATCTATTTCTTCATTAACAAGATACTCGTACTTCATGGTGGTCAGTTGCTGGATATCCAGCTGGGCGCAAACGCCCTCCCACCATCCGGCTAGCTCGAATGGCTTGGATAGCTGGATGATATGTTCATCACGAATTGGAATCCTATTCAAATTAGTGCTGCGATAAAGAGAGACCTCCCAAAAAATCTGGAAAATAAAAACAAAAACAAAATATATAAAAAACTCTCAGGTTAACAGCAAAAAGTGAGTCATGCGAAGCGGAAACAGTTCTCCAATGAAACGAACATCAGAAATAATGATGATGGCCAAGCGAAAAAAAAAAAACCAAGAACAACAAAAAGCCGAGATGGAAAAGGTGAGGTCGAAAATTAAACACCACCACATCGTTTAGATAAAGTTATAAATTATAATGTACGCTACGGAACGATCGATCCGATGAGAGCGGAGGTCCCAAAGAAACCGAAAACGAAACCGAAACCCTTTTAGTCTCCTGCTCTTATTATGCCAGCCCTCTCTTTTTTAGCCTTGTTTCTGTTTTTTTTTTCTTAGGCCGGACAGGTAAGATCTTAAGGTGTGTGGGTAAAACAGAAATTAAACGAATTTAGGCAAACGGCATCTATATATTATGGTGGAACATTATGTTTTTTTTTCTATATGTGTTTTCATAAAGCTTATTTTTCTGATCAACTCAAATTTCGTTTAAACGCTTGATTTAGTGCAGCAAAATATGGCCAAATGTCGGGCTATCCATGCAGTTGTATCTGTATCTGTAGCGGAGCATCTGTATCTATGTGTGTGTGTGTGTGTGTGTGCGCATTCCACAAGCGACAGCGTTTTACACTTGAAATCCTCGGGCAGGGGAGCGAGCGAGAGGGCCAGATAACTGAACCCGGCTTGCCTTTTATCCTGGCACAAACACGTTGGTGGCATTTCCCTAGGTGTGTGTACATGTGTGTATGTTTGTGTGTGACTGGTCCAACAGGTTCCACGGAGATTCTTCTGCACTCGTAGCCTGGTCCCTCCTTCCCCCATTTTCCCAACCTTTTTGGCTCGTTTTTTTTTTGTAGAGACCTGGCACTGGCACTGGCATGCAGCATTTCTCGTTCTCGGTCTCGTTTTGCACATTTTTGAATTTTATTTTAATTTCTTTTTATTATATTTTAGCAGCGAGGCTACCCTTTCCAGTCTTCCGTCTTCAGTCTCCAGTCTCCTGGTCTCCTGCGTCCACGTCTTCGTTACTTCTTCTCCTTTTGTGGCTGCTTCAGGTTCTTTTGGAGTTTGTGCAACTTTTTGGTTTGTTGATTTTCATTCACCAAAAACTGGTTCGACGTTTAAGTTCTTCACTTGGCTTAGACAGTGGGGTTTTTCAAGGAAGTTCTCGTTGGTACACTCCCCTTCGGGTAACCAACCAACCCTCCCCTCCTCTTTCTCCATTTCTTGAGGCTAAGGAATGTGTGAAGTCATCGAGCAGGGGCCAGATTTGAATACCAGCCTCGTCTTCTTACACTTTTAAAGACCTGGGCGGCACTTGCAGTACCATGGCCTTAAATTCCATACCCACACAGATACACTCACACACACACACACATACTCTGACACATTTGGGATTTCGCTTCGAGGGCGGCTCGTTTTTCCATCGAATCGAAGAATCAGTCAAACGAAACAGACATCGATAGCACTTCATCATGTAACAATCAATGCAAGGCCCTGCACTGTGAGAAAAATTATAGGGTCATCCATAAGTCAGTCCTCTCTTATTTCGGGCTGGCGTGTGCCAATTAGATTGGGCCAGCCAGAAAGTTATCAGGTTAGGGTCTCGGCCTGGCCAAATCGAGTTGTGTGCACCGTGTAATTGTGTTTCATTGCAGGATATTGGATTTTTGTGCTTGATTTGGCACATTGTGATGCGTGTTCACCTTATTTTCCCGCTATCTGGCATGGTACACCCCCCTCCCTCTCCCCATGGCCCTGGGCAAGGGTTTGGGCCAAGTTACTTGTGTGTCAGAAAGTGGTCCTGATGCTCACTCGCTTGTGCTTCCCCCTTGACCCTTCCACCTGACAGCTACTTGTCAATGGCCGTGATGAGTGTGCAGCCCCCCCTTCGGGCACCTTCAGCCTCGTTCTCCTTTCTCTTCTCATCTTTAACCTGAAGCAAGCACTGAGAGAAAATAGGAGGTCAGAAAACATTAACATTATGGGAAAACATTCTGAGAAACATAGCTCTGAGAAAACATTATGGTTTTTAAAATATTTTAAAGTATAATTATCGTTTTTCCATTTACTTTTCGTTGCCCAAACCTCTGTTAGTTCATCAAATTCCTATATGAAACTTCTATAAATTTCTCTCAGTGCATCATCCACATCAAGGCAGGTGCTAGTAGTTCAGAGGGATTCGAGTCTGGGTCTGTCGGTGGCAGAGATATGGCTAGAGGAACCGAATCGTTGAGACTGGATATACATCAGCCCTCTGACGGGGAGGGCATACCAGGGGGATGTGGATCTGCCAGATACACCATCCTGCCGGAGGTGGGTGAGGAGTGGGCGGAACCAGGGGGTGGCTGACGGGCGTCGTGAACGTGTCATTGACAGATTTCAACGCAATTGCGTATGAATGAAATCGATTTTTTGCCTTTGTTCTTGCTCTCCACGATTGGGTCTAGGTTGTGCTGCCCCGATGATGTTACAGATGATTATTGTGATGTTGGTAATGACAATGGCGATGAAATGGATGCACAGTCGTCCTTAATACAACTCAATAGTGGTAAGTCACATGGGAAATGTGTTAATAGAAAGGCACTTCTATTTGTCAAGTAGTGGGGTATTCAAAGTTAATCAGTCAGTGAGCTAATAAATAATAATAATTATATAAAATAATGCTTTAATCCAAGACACACCTGAGAAAATTGAATGCAATGCTACTTTATTAATATAACATTTTTTATAAAATTCTTGTATGCACCTACATACACCCACTGCCGTCACGAACTGGATTCCCTCTGAGGTGCTTCGAACAATTTCCCACCGTTTGGCCCACTCACTTTTTATAGAGGGGGGGACCCCATCATATTTGTATTATCACTTTCGCATCTCGGCCGGCGGCTGCGGAGTTCCCGATGTCCGATGTTGGATGCCTGATGCCCGATGCCCGATGCCCGATGCCCGATGCCCCATGCCCGATTCCCAGTCACCAGTTCCCACTGCACTCAACGGTTCCCCGACCAGACACCTCCTGACCGTGCCCATAAACTAGCCCTCGGCAGCAGATATCGGACGGGCGGATGGACCGGACGGGACCGGATTGGACCAAAGACGGCACTTGGCAACAGGGGCTGAGGCTGGGGCCTCAAGAACTTTGCCATAAATAAATACGAGAATATACACAGATGAAGTGCATATAGATGCACGTGGCTGTCTGTGTACACTGGGTATTTATATTTGCCCTACCCAGCACCATAGCCATCGCCATCACCAGGCCCAGTCCCAAGTCCCAAGTCCCGGCCCGAGTGCCAAACCCAATCCCGGGCCTTGGCCAAGGTAGAAATTAAGCGTCCCACCGCGAGTTTACACATCATCATCATTATTGTTGCCATTGCCTTTGAGCCGGGGTCGAGTTTGCTAAAAGCACTGAAAAAATCTATCTTAATATTATTAAAAAACTTTAGAGAACAAAAAATATATGTATTAATATTTTACAGATTCAATAAAGGCAATACCTTTCTGAAATTTTAGTAAACCTTAAATATTCCTGAATTACTTGACAGCAAAGGCCTATTTTCCAAGTGTATCTCATATGCTGCTGCCGTTGCAGTTGCAGTTGCAGTCGTGCCTCACCGTATG